AGTGAGCTCAGTTTCCTCGTGAGCGCAGAAACAGTTTGTGACCCCGGAGACGAGGCCGATCGTTGATGATGTTCTGTAAAATGTCAGAAATACACGAGTGTTACACTCAAACAGATGATTGATTTTTTTTTTTTTTTGTTGGTTTTCAGCTGAGATGTTCTTTAATAAACGGCTGCTTCTCTCCTCATAACTGAGATAACTGCAGAGAAACAACTCCTCTCTACATCTGTGAGTTTTAACGTGGGTCAGATGTTGTTCTCGTGTGAGAGACATCACCAGTCTACTCTGCCCGCTGTCTGATACTGGATCTTGTATGAGATGTAGTAAGAGACGGGTTTTAAAGAACTGGGAGTTGCTGGGTCGACCTTCCCCATGTCTTGGTGGGGAAGCTTGTGCGTCTCCGAGACGTGATGCTCCTCATTGCGTGACAAACACCTGTACCTTTTCATCCACGAAGCCCTTATTGGACAAACACCTCCCTGTATAACATCTATGCTGGACTGGACCTCAGGACACGACCAAACTCGCTCTGCTAACTCTCTTCTGCTTCAAGTCCCGAGGGTTTGTTCTCTGAACCTGGAAAACCTGCCTTTAGTTTTTGTGAATCAAACACGTGGAATTATCTACACCTCGACATCCTCACCACACCTGCACGATTCAAGACGATGATCTCAAACCACGTCAAACCTCAGTGTGCGAACGTTTTCACTGAGTATTGTTTTAACTCATCGTGGCAAATGAGGGAAACCTCAGTGATCTTTGAGGCTTAAATAAATAAATGAAATGAAATGAAATTGCTGGAAGGCTGCTTCCACATCTGAACATGAGCGCGACCGACCTTCCTGTTAAACATACGGGCAGTGCGTCGTCCAATCAGTGACGACCCTTGTCGACAGCAGGTACCAGGTACTTCTAACCATTTCCGGGTTGGAGTTCACGTCGTTGTGTTTTTTGATTTGTGGTCGTGATTTGCGCTTCACGGCCGCTGTACCGCACCCTCAGCAGGCCCGACCAAGTCAGCCAGGTGTCAAGGTGACCTGGTCCTCCAACTCCAACCTGTAAAAACACCATCATGTTTCCTAAACTACGACAAACACAACTAAACTTTAACGCTAGTGAAGAACCATCTGTTTTTAACCTTCAAGATGAATGAGGTCGTAAGAAGTTACAAGAAGTTTTTCCTGCGTTAAACAGTCTGGTATGAATATGGTGTGATGATGTTAACATCCACCATCTCTTTAGGTTGTTCAGCTACTTTGCATTTGTCTTTACTTTGAATCCTTTAGTCCAACTGACATCTTCGTGACAATGTAAGAAATCAGCTTTCTGGCTTCTTTATTCTGTTTTCCTTACAACTCGACAACTTTAACGCGACTAAGAGTCGGGAGTCGTGCTAGTAGCGCTATGAGATTTCACATTTGACACAGTGATGCTTTGAGCTAAATGCTAAAAATGACATGCTGTTTGTAGACTGATGTTACCATCTACAGATGCCGTGCAGCTAACATCTGGATCACACAACCTCGTTCTTGACATGAAAACCCGATGTTTATTGTAGATGTTTCCAGTTTTCTAACTTTCTAATTTTTCCTGTTTTGTGAAAAGAGAAAAGCTCCAGTATCAAAACACCAGGAGAAAAATATCCACCTTATTCTATCTAGATCTGAAGAGCAGTGCGCAGGACATTCTTCTTTTCAAGACGTACACGTTTTCAGAAAATAATATTTTATATGTAAGTGACACTTTTCAACTCACTTGCACCTAAGACATTTGGATGTGTGAATATCTTCGTGGAGAAAATCTATTTGTCTTAAACAGAGTTCAGCTTGTTGAAAGAATTTTCCAGAAATAAATTTGTATATTTTGCAACGAGACAAAGTGATGCAGGAAAATGTTTTCATTTGAAAATAAGACTCCAAGGATTCAATTACAGAAAAATGACTTGATAAGAATTAAATGTTTTTGGACTCCAGCATGCATCAGTTCTTTTCAAAGGCCTGTGAAGTGTTAATGTGGACTTCACTTTAAACAGACTCCACCGCTCACAGCCCGGAGCCTCAGGCAACATTTGGGAGGTGAGAGGATTTTGTCTGTCAGTTATTGTTTTTATGTGAAGAGGCTCAAACCTCTGATCGCTCATTCCCTCTCGGTCCGTTACCTCCTCCTGAATGAAATAATAGTCAAATAAAACTCTCTCATTTCACTGAGGGGTCCCCCGGGAGCTTCTTAAGGGCCCCTGAGGGTCCCCGGTCGGTCGGGCCCACGTTTACAGGCTGCGGTAATGATGCTTGTTTGTCCAGCGGTCTGTAAATCACACCGACATTAGAGCTGTCACAGGATCCACTGGAGACACAGCAGACCATCACTAATACCCCCGAACCCTGGAGACGCTCCCCGCCGGATCTATACACTAGCCAAAAAAAAAAACACACACTACAGAGAGGCTGCAGAGGAGATAAAAGTGGTTTTAAACTGATACAGACCATCTTTAACAAGAAGCTCTGGAGGTACAACTACAAATTACACAGAGGATCATTCAGGTTTCCATGTTTAAACAGATGTAAATTAGCATTTTTGCTCCAATCCGGCATGTTTACATGGTTAACTTAGTACTCACGTTCACTGACATGCGTTATTCATATCAAATAAACAAATAGATAAATAAAGGAGCTTCTTTCAGTCTTCTGTCAGCTCAAAGTGCTTCACATGCATGTTATAAAAACAAGGAATTTCCCCGTGAGGATCGATAGTTTTCCTGATTCTGACAAAATTAAACACAATGGAACATGAAATAAATGTGCATTAAAATGTTTTGCCTTGAAGCAAATGTCTTTCAGTAATTTTATTAGCGTTCAGCACGGTGCTTAAAAGTAAGATTCAAACTTCATTGTTGCTTGATTTGACCAAAGACTGTAAATAAAGATGGATGTCACCTCTGTGACGTCACCCACAGGTTTCTGAACTGCAGAGTAAGCTGCTCCACCGTCGCCATCTTGGCAGTGTCTGACTCCGCCCCTAACTCCCAGCTAATCTAAAAATGGGCAAAGAGGAGGGGTGAAGCACCTATATAATTTTTTTACCTGTAATTGTAAATATTAAAATATATTTGCCATATTCATACCCTAACTAGCTAGCATATTTATTACACTTCCTTACCATCACAGTTCCTGAATTAGATTGTGTGAAGTATCTATGGATGAATGCTAATGTTAGCTAGTTGCTAGCTTTAGCCTTAAGTTACATTTAAGCTAACTAATGTTTGCTAGTTTCTAACTTTAGCTTTAAGTTACAGTTAAGCTAACTAATGTTTGCTAGTTTATAACTTTAGCCTTGGGTTACAGTTGCCTGGTGCTGCCAAATCTGAGACCCAAACCCGACCTGAGACCAGAAGCTCCTGCTTTGTTTTATTTACTGACTGTTTGTTGAATCCAACCCAACAAGCGGCTCTATACAACAAAATGGTCCAGAACCCTAAACTTGGTTTGGATTAATCAGGTTGAGGTCAGTTATCAGAACTCTAAATCTAATCATGTCCCTCTCTCTTCTTCTTCAGTGATCATTAACCAGGTCGTCTTCGGCCTCTGGAGGTGAACGTGTTGTTTCCTCTCAGGCCTGACTCCTGCTGCAGAGCCTCTCCGACTCTCTCTCTCTCCACCCTCCAGTGTTCTGTCTTTATTCTCTGCAGCGTTCTTCATTCATTACAGCAGCTTTACTGGGAGACGAGCGCCTTTTATTGGCACTGCTGCCTGTAAAATCACTCAGAGCTGGCCGAGAGACTAACCTGTAAACTGAGAGAGAGAGAGGGACGTTCAGACAGTAAACAGGAAGCACACACACAAATACACACTCATTATTTCACACACACACACACACACACACACAGTACAGAACATGTATCTATCTGCAGTCTGTGTGTGTGTGTGTGTGTGTGTGTGTTTTGATATTTATTGGGAAGCGACGGCTCCTTTAATCTCGCCCATCGACCGCCCAGTGCTCCCATTAAGGCTGACTGGGATGTCCACAGGGAGAGAGTGTGTGTATGTGTGTGTGTTGAAGGGGAATCTTAAAAGGCTGTAGGTTGTTTTTGGTTGTTGTGGTTATGGGCTGATATCTCCGCCTGAGTGTTTGTATGTGTGACTTTGTGTGTGTGTGTGTGTGTGTGTGTGTGTGTCTATGTATTTATAGTGAAGTGTGTGTGTGTGTAAGTGCAGCACTGAGCAGCTGCAGCTTTGATCCATCTCATCAGAAGACAAAACCAGGTCTTTAAATCAGACAGTGAATTGAGATATGTCTTTATTTGTCTGGTTTTATGTATTATTAATGATTGATAAGCCTCCTGCTCCTGATGTTTACTGTTGATACATATGTCCAATCTTTACAATATCAATATCAGATAGTTGGGTTCAGTTCAGGTGTTCATGTGGTGACACTTTATTTCATGGCTCCTGTATTTTCCAACTAATTTCTGGAAAACATTCTCATAATTTCCTAAAAAATTACTTGGATTTAGCTGTAAATTACAAGAAAGGCTTCACGGTTATAAAGGAAGTGGAGATTTGGTTGCTATGGTAATTAATCATTCGCTAGTAAAACAGGGCAAAAATAAGCAGGAACATTCAAAAGTTCTCCAGGAATTTTCTAGTTATTAAAAGTCACCAATCTTTAATTAAGAACATGAATATGGGGAGTGGATGCTTAATAACTGCAGTGAATATGAACCAGACTTTGAAATATCAGATAAATATGGACTCATTTCTAGAGGAAAGTTTCCATTGATGTTAATGAGTCTATGAACTGGTTTTAGGAGCAACAATAATCAACAGACATGAACATCATTATTTTATATTTATATTGTATATTATATTTATCATTATTAAATATCAGTTTCATCAGTAATTTTGAAAAATTCTTTCAAATTAAAACTTTTATTCAGTTGAGCCACGTGCTTCTAGATAACTGGACTTTTTATTTCTTGTTTAATCATGTGATCCACATCATAATATAATTCAAACAAACTTTATTTATAAAGCACCTTCCTTACAGCAGCACAAAGTGTTTTACAGACATAATGAACCAGTACATCATGTTTCCGTGAGTCAAACTTAAAGAACTGAAACATTTCAAAAGATACCTGGCACCATGTAGCACGTGCTAGCATTAGCATGTTGCTAGCATGCTCTCTCATGACGTTGTGGTGGATGGATGGGTCACCAGGACACAGGAGAGCAGTGTTCGATTCCCATGTGAAACCATCTGTTTATATCGTAACCATGACAACGGCGGCAGTGTGATGTTGAGGAAGTTCTTATTTTAATCACGACTTTTTCTTAAACCTAACCGAGCCATGTGACCATGACAACCAAGGTCCGGTACGGGTGCCGCTGTAGGGGCGTTGTTTCTGGAGACACAGGGTTGATGGTTGTTCAGGTTGGAGTTGCTGTTGTTATTAGCCAGCAGGGGGCGCCACCTGCACCTGTCCCGACACATCCAGCGGAGTGATACCTGGTTCACCACCTGGTCTCCTCCGTCACTGCCCCGGGCAGAAGGGGCAGGAGTTGTTCTTGCTGGACTGCAGCCACATGCGGATGCAGTCTTTGTGGATGGTGTGGGCGCAGCTCAGCGGGTGGCGGCTCTCCGGATCCACCAGGTTCTGGCACATCAGGCACAGTTTACGGACCCCGCCGCCCTGACCTCCGCCAGGCGAAGCTCTCTGCGGGGGAGGGGTCGGCCTCTGGATGGGACCCGGGGGCATGGGCCGGCTGATGGGCCCCGGGGCCAGCCTCTCGTTCTGAGCCAGCTTGAAGCCGACCTGCTCGATGACCTCCTCCATGGACATGCCGGCCAAGGTGCCGCGCGAGCTCTTCACCTGCTGCAGCAGCGACGTCAGCTGGGCCCTGTTGCATTGTGGGAACCGAGCCCCGAGCTTCTCCAGGACTTTGTCTAGTTTGCCAGCGGGGGCAGAGGTGGCGGCGGCAGCAGCGGGGGGAGGTGGGGAAGGAACCACAGGGTGGAGAGGTTGAACAGGGGGGGAGGGGGAGAGACTGAGAGGGGGGGTCACCCTCACTGGTGCTCTGATGTGGGGCTGGAACTGAGGCTGGGGCGTCTGCAACTGGTGCTGCGGGGGAGGGGAGGGCTGGAAGTAATGTTCGGGGGGTGGGTGGTGTCGTGGGTGGGGGTAGCGCTGGCGGTACTGGGGGCGGTGGTACTGTTCCTGGTAATAGTGCGGGTGTCTCTGTGGAGGGAGGGGGCGGGGCACCGGGTTGGGAGGGGGCATGAACTGTGGATGAGCCAGCGACTGCATCACCTGGTTGAACCTCAGGTCGGCCTGTGGGAGGAAACAAGAGCTGCAGGTCAACGACCTCATTTAACCCCAAACCTTCGTGTCAGTTTCCTGTTCTGTTGTTAAATTAACATGTTGACTGACTTGATGAAGACACAGAGTGGACCGTGTCCTCCGGTCCAAACAAAGACTAAACCCACCTGTCTGTATGACGGGATTTATGGAGCTAATAGCTGCTAGCTGCTAGCGGCTAGCTCGTTGTAGCTGAGTGTAGGTGAAACATCTCTAACACACATCACATCTTTGTTCTAAGCCCGTCGCATTCACAGATCTGAACCAGGACCAGCAGGTGAGTCTCTTACCACGGGGACCTGCGGCAGAGACGGCACGTTGATCCTGGGGAGGGACTCTAACTCGCAACCCTGCCGCAGCTGCTGCAGAACCTCCTTGAAGCGGCTCTGGAGCTCGGCCTGGTTCCTCCGGACCACGCCTTCCTTCTTCTCCCACTTCTGCCTCTCGTGAGGGAACTGCTGAGGGAACTCCACCCTGAGGGTGTTCAGGTACTGCTCCACCTGCGACAGGTGAGGACGTGATCAGTGTCATCAGAGCGCTAACCCCTGAGATACGTGCGGCGACGTCCGTACCTCTCTGAGCCACGCCTCGATGCGAGTCATGGCGACGTCCCTCTGCTTCTCCACGGCGGCGATCTCGTCCTTTAAGGCCTGCAGCTCCACCTCCTGCGCCTCCTTCCTCACCCGCTCCATCTCCTGCCTCAGCTCCTCCAGCTCCACCTGCCACCTCCGCTGCTCCTCGCTCTGCTCCTCCGTCAGCGCCGTCAGCTTCCTCTCGCTCTCCTCCAGCTCCTTGGCCAGCCTGACCCCCGGAGGACAGAAGAAGAAGAGGTAAAGTATTTCTCTGTGACAGCTGTTTTTCATCTATAAATTCCAATCACAATTTTCCACATTTTACTGTAAGAAAAGAAGAAAATCCTGATATTTGAGAAGCAGGAACCAGATGATGTTTGCTGCTTTTATTCTCAATAACTGACTGAAACATTCAACTGAAATCTGTCAAATAATTGATTATTGAACTAGAAGATGGAGCAAAATCTCCTCATTCCTGCTATGGAGGAGAGACAGGCTGTGATGCGGTTTGATCAGTACATGAACAGAAAAGAGTTTTTACAGTGTAGAAATGATTCTGTGGAGGAGAGAGTTCGTAATAGAGAAACTGTTTCTACGTAGGTTTAAATACGTCCTTGTTTTCTTCCTTTATTTCCTGTGTTGTTGGTTTTCACCTGTTCCTGTCGTCCTCCGCTCGGTTCTTCTCTGACGTCATCTCTTGTTTTTTGGATAAGAAGTTCTTCCTGGCGGCTTTAGAGTTGTTCAGCTGCAGTTTGACTCGCAGAGACTCCAGTTTGTCCAGAAGAGTCTGAGAACACACACTTCCTGTTACAGAGTCCTGGTTTTGACCACAGTGGCTTTATACTGTGTGTGTGTGTGTGTGTGTGTGTGTGTCTCACCTGGTGCTGCTGGGTGGCCTCCTCCTTCTTCTTCAGCAGTTGTAGTTTGTGTTTCTCGTGTGCCACCTCCTCCTCGCCCTGCTTCTTCATCAGGCTCTTGTACTGCTCCGACAGGATGGTGCTGTGATCCAACATGGCCGACACCAGGCTCTCCCAGTCCGGCTCCGTGTTGACAGCCGTCTCCTCTGTCGTGCTGTCGGTCTGCACAGCCTGAGCCTTCTGCAGCGGGTCTGGGACAGGAAACAACAATGCTGACTGAATAATTTCAAGACTCTGGTCGGGATCTTCTCCACAGGAAGCTGCTGAGGCTCATGGGTATTGTAGTATTTAAAGACAAGAGCATTTCAAATATTGACTGTGGTCAGTGAGGTTACTGGTGTTTAACTGTAGAGAGACATTTGTTAGACACGAGTGTTCAGCTGCAACAATCAGTCGATTAGTAAATTGACAGAAAATAAAACAGCAATTATCTTAATAATCAGTTAATAACAACAAAAAACAAATTAACAAACACAAAGATTAGAACCTTCATGAAGGAGGATTTATTAGAGGATTGTTGTTTTGGACTTGTTTTGCTAGGTGTTCCTAATAAACTGACACCTGAATACACTTGGCCAACAAAGCTGATTGTGATTTTACCTTCCACTTTCATCTTAGCTAGCTCCAGCTCCAGCTCCTCCTCCAGCAGCCCCTCGAACTCATCCTGCTCCTCCTGCTCCTGCTGCTGCTGCTGCTGCTGCTCTTCCACCTCCTCCATCACGTCCTCCTGTGTGAGATGTTGGATTTCTTCTGCTGGAGCCATGCTCACAGTTTCCCCGCTAACCTCCATGCTAACAGAACTACAGAAACGAAACTTAAAGTTAAATCATGCTCGGCTCTGAGCGTGTTAGCTTAGCAGCTGGTTAGCAACGACACACGTCACTCTCTCAGCACTGAAACGATATTCAAAATTTAAAAAAATTAGCTTCTTTAGCTGCTTTTAAAGTAAACAGTTCACAGCTGTCGCCAGCGGTTTGCTAACAACACGGAAGTGATGGCGTGTCGCCGAATATGCTCCGACAGAAACGTTTTATCTGTCCGGGCTCCACAGTCGGTCCGCCTCAAAGATCGTCTATGGTCAGATTTTTCAGAAATATTTATTGAACATTGCAGAACAGTGGTATGTATCAATATCAATCGACAAAAGTCAGCATAAACAGTTAATACATAGCACCTGTAGCATTGAACTTTGAGCAGACACAATATGAAAAGATAAATCAAAAGGAAGAAAATAAATTACAGAAATTTTTTTCAGATGCACAGATTTTCATCATATTTTGAGAGAAGTTTGAAGTTTTAAATAAATAGCGTTAAAAATGGTGAGTTCAAGTTCCCACCCTCCTCCTACTAAATTTTTAACCAGCCACCAAAAAGTTTTTTTTTTTTTTTTAATTTTAGACCAAAAACCTTTTAATAATATTTTATCAATCTTTTATTTTTCATTTTATTTTATAGCTATTGAACGTCAATGAAATCAAGTTTGTTTTATTCTAGTAACATTATTTCAATTTGTTTTTTTGCCCATTGTATTTTTGTAATTCTCAGGCTTTTCCAACCATAAATGTTAAATTATTTTTTTTTATCAGTCTTTTAATTTTTTATGCTTCTATCCAAAGATTTTAATTAAGTTAAATTAGATTTTATTCTATTATGTTAAAAGTTTTCTTTTTTTATTCTTTATTTCTCAGATTTTTTTCAACACATAAATGTAAATTATTTTATGAATATTTTAATTAAGTAGTTTTTGAACCTAATATTTTAATCTAATTAAATTGTTTATTTTATCTTATTTATTAACATTTATAATATATATATATATTTATTTATTTTCTATTGCATTACCTTTCTCAGATTTGGTGTGTATTTTTATTAATCTATCCTAAAATTGTCCTTATTTACAGCAAAAACATAGTGTCTAATTTGTGTGTATTTATTGATTGTAAACTCCTCCTCAATTCAATAAAACTCCAAATTCCCAGAAACAGTAGAAACAGTGGTCTATTTTTCCATAACAGCTCTGAACTAAAAAAGAAAGATGTTCAGGAAACTGGACCAGGAAACAGCGGCAGAGTGAGCCCTCCTCTTTTTCTCCTGCTCTCTGGTTCCCATCAGGACTCCTGTTAGTCACATGACAGAGCTGGGAAAACCTCCTGACTCCCCGCTCCTCCTCTCCTCCCCCCCGTCAGTCGCCTGTTTTCTCGCCGTCCGTCGGTGTGTGTGTGTCGGTTAGCTTTCATCACAATCCACCGCAGGAACCACGCGAACATGGCGGACACAGCCAGGGACCCTCCACCGGAGCACACCGACTTCGAGGAGCTGGAGGACGCGGAGGACCTGTTCCCGGAGCCGGCCGCTACACAGGAGGTGAGGAGGAGGAGGAGGAGGAGGAGGAGGTGATGAAGGGAGGCCGAGGGGAGCTGTGGCGGGCAGGGCGTGATGCTTCCAGCTGACAACAGATGGAAACTTAGAGGAGGGGGAGCGGAGACCTTTAAACCGGTACATTTCTGAATGAGGTCTGGTTCGTGCGGAAGCGTCGGCGTGATTCGTCTCTTTACTTGTCACCATTCACAAAAACAGCCGTTAAAAAACACACGAAGAAGACGTGCAGACAACAACACTGAACCGTGGCCTTCACAGCCACAGTTACAGGAGCCACGGAGGGTCATGTTTGCACGGGAGAAAAGCGCAGGATAGGTGTGTTTGCTCGCAGTCAGGTGACAGTCACACAGGTGCAGGGTGATGCGTTCAGGGCGGACTGGAAAAAAACAAAAACAAACGAAAAAACAGGTCCAGCTCAGCAGGTTGAAGTTTCCTGTTTGTTGTGTTAATGCTTCAGTTTATTTGAACAAGCAGAAGACGGTGGTTGAAGTGTTGAAGTTGAATTCGAGAAATATTAGTTTTAATGGTTTTGAATTCAGACTTTAATGGTGGACGTAATAATCCAGCAGGTAGTCGTGTCCTGACAACAAGGAAATATCAAAGGTAAACTGTAATAAAATACGACTGAGTTATTTACTAATGAAACAACACAACAAACTGCAGCCTCAGAAACACGAAGTCAAACTATCAATCTAATAAAACTGAACATTACATCCGTAATAAAGGTGGCTGTTCCTGCAGGAGGTGTTTGAATGGTTGTGCAGACACTTGTAATATCATGTGACTGTGCTTCATAAATCAGTCTGAGCATGTTTGTGTAGAGAAGTTCAGACACACTAAAGTCTACATGATGACAACGGTTCGTTTAATCGACTTTCCTTGTGCTCGGTCACTAAACTCCAGCTTGTGTTTGTCGTGTAAAGTCTGAGGCGACGAGAGCGACGCGATGCGACTTCAGCTGGTTCCTCTCTGAGATAAAACGCAGAAGGACACATTTGTTCTGAGCAGCAAACAGCAGCTCGAGGCTCCGAACTGGAAATACTAAATCATCTGAGAGCAAGGCTGAAACACTCACTGGTCAGAGATCCAGGGGCCCTGAGAGATCCAGGACCCTGAGAGATCCAGGACCCTGAGAGATCCAGGGGCCCTGAGAGATCCAGGGGCCCTGCATCATTTTAAAAGAATAGTTTGACATTTGGAAAATGCACTTCTGTGTCTCTTCTCCCTGAGAGTCAGATGAGGAGACTGATTCCACTCTGCTGTGTGTCTGTCCAGCTAGTTAGCTTAGCTTAGCTTAGCTTAGCTTACATTTTGTGTAGGTGGAGTTCAGATGTTCGCATGTTAAAAACCTTCAGTCGACACTGACGCATGACGAAGTGAAGCAGCAACATGTTTGTTTTACACATTTACACGCTGCAGATTCACATGTGGAAAGAAGAGGGAACATGTTGACGCTCTGCTTCACAAACGTTATTTCTTTAACAATGAGTGAAACGATCGATCGATTATCAGAATAGTTTCTATACTGAAGCTCAAACCTCAGGTGAAGACAGGTACAGGAAAATAAACGAAAGTGATTTTGGTGGAACTGATCCTTTAAGTTTGGAGCTGACAGACAGAAAGGAGGAGGAGTGAGACGTCTGTCTGTGAAAACGTCGCTGTCACTTTACAACAGTTTCTTATTTTAAAAAAAAAACCTCTGCAACTGTGTTGTAACGTCTTCAGCTCGGAAACACACACACACACACACACACACACACACACACACACACACACACACACACACACACAGGCCTGTTTTCTCTCTTTTCGTCATGTCAGCACTCTGGACTTCATTCCTGGTGATGATTGTCCTCATTGAGTGTCACAACAGCATTCTTCTATGAGGTGTGTGTGTGTGTGTGTGTGTGTGTGTGTGTGTGTGTGTGTGTGTGTGAGATCCACTTCCTCTCTGAGCAGCAGGATGAGTCTGATTCACACTAACCCTAACCCATCCCCTCACCCCCAAAAACTGAGCCACCACAACTTAAACTGAGATCCTGATCCTGATCCTGATCCTGATCTGATCCTGATCCTGATTATAACCTGAACCCTCAGACAGTCCTGTGAAGGTGTGAGAACCGACCAAGATGTCCGCCCTGCTGCTGTTAGAGAAACTGATGCTGACAGATGTTACTATTATTTTACATAAACCCTGAAGACACCAGGACTCACATTTGTGTGTGTGTGTGTGTGTGTGTGTGTGTGTGTGTGTGTGAGGTTCATCTGTGACATGGATTT